CACTAACCTTTTAACCATACATTTGTAGTTAAACTGTGGGTTAAAAAAAATTACAATCAATCCATGGTTACTGCACTTTTTCTATAGTAAAACCATTGTTAATTTCCGTATTTCCATAAGGGAAAATGTATGTCCTGACAGAAAAGTATAAGTACATTTTACTCTTTTTTTGTTCCCCCAAGCATAATCATATGCTACAGTTACACAAATATCCTTAAATGTAAAATTTACTTAAATATGCCTTGATGAACGAAATATTTCAATTCTAAGAGGTTAATGGAAGTTTCTGCTGTGAACGTGACTACTAAATATAGGCTATACGTGCTTCAAAGTAGCTAACACTACTGTTTACATGTAGTAATATGAAAGATAATAAGCAAAAGAAATGTAATAACTCTTCAATTTGTTATGTGCAGAAAAAACACGAACTTCTGCGGAGAGTAATGTTCGCATAGTAGGTGGCGGTAATGCACCTTATGCCACCCGCCATAAAACATGAAGAAGAAGAAGAAGAAGAGTAACGTTTGCTGCACTGTTGTAACTGATCAGCGCTGCGTTGTCAGTTCGGTGGCCTAGTAAACACGTCCTCTCTGCGCTGTCGAGTCGGTCGCGCAGCTCGGTCCATTGAGCCGCGCCTATGCCAGGTCAGCGCGGCGCGAACACTTTAATACCGCGCTGTTTCGTCCCACATTTGGGTTGTTTGGCTTCCCATACACTTCCGTGGCTCTCGCTACTCACAGACCTGTCTCCTCGGCAGTTCCGTACTATTCCTCTCTGCCCACACGCTCGTTACCACCCCTGGGATTCATCAGCGGCATTCTATTGCCGGTTCGCCGCCTCCCCTCCCCGCGGGCTCGACCGCAGCTGGTCTAACCTCCGCGCTGACCTGAACTGACTTTTTGCTGGGGTTTTGCCATCCGGCTGAATTATTGACTTTCTGTTATCCCAGTTCAATAAACTTGGAATTTGTTTTCACCTGCAGTTGGATCCCGGTCTCGTTTCTGACAACTATGTCCGGAGTCTATATCCGGATTATACATTTTATCCCAATACTTTCATTATAAATATTAATAATTATTATTTAAGGTTTGCAACACAAAACTGTAGCCTGCTGTGTAGACTGTTTGTGAAGCTGTTTCAAACATAAAGCTTACACAAAGAGCTCTCTCCGATCAGAGGCTGGGCAAAAGCAGGTTTAAATATTCCGATGTGATTGTGTTTTCAAAGGTTTAATAAACATAGCAGAATCACCATCATTTGTGAATAAGATTGCGTGTGTTTGAATCGAGATCGCGATCTTTTAATGATTAAAAGGTGCATACCCTTGTTTGTGTAGCCCATGTTAGTGATGGGCGCTTTCGAAGCTCCTTTTTTTTTCGAAAAGTTTCTCCCATCACTACTTAGCAACTCTTTCTGACTAGGGCTGCGTTCCAGTCCCTTTTAATGCCCTTCATTTTATAACTTCCCTCCGTCTCGTTTACTCGGATGTATGCCATTGCATATGATGAGTGCCCACTACTGGTGGAACCCTTGGAATTGGGTGAATCGGAATGTAAGTCCTTGATCTTAATCTGCTATGTAGTTGGTTTATTGTTTACATTTTTCCCCTTACGAATTTGTTTGGTGCAGCATGCTATACACTGTAAAAAATAAACTGTTGAGAATACTTACAAAAGTAAGGCAACTTGATGCAGTAAGACTTTTGAGTTGTCTCAACAATTCTTTTATAGTTCTTCTAAGTAACAATACTGCGTTCAGCCAACCTGCATTTCTATGTTCATGCAATGATGATTGTCTTATTTTGCTAATAAAGTTATTCTTGTCACAGCAACTGAAACAACAAGTAATGTCGTTGAGTAAATTTAGTATTTTCCGTTTCCTGGACGAAAAACAAATGTGTAAATAGTCACCACATTATCATTTTTATGTCTATTTACACATGACACACTAGGACTTATTTCTATATCAGTTTATGTCATTAAAATTAAGAGAATATAATGTAATGTTATTAACCACAATGGGCAATATTGTCTTTGTTTATAAAGCATACTACAAGACTAAGATATCCAGAATATAGATTTAACTGGTTGAACATACTCTAGGCCTCAATACTTGACACTAAGCCTCAAGAATGGTGGCAATCAACAAATGTAAAAAAAGATGAGCTCTTTAAATCACTACACAACAAACAACTAACAATAATGACAAAACAACAACGATAAAGTTTAAATGAAGCCAGCAAAAAGCAAAACAATAACCCTATAACAGTATCTGCATAATTTATTCATGCTGCAATGCATGCTGGGAACTCACAAAGCCCCTCCTTCCCTCCCTCCTCCTACTCCTCCTAACATTTCAGCAATATAAAATTCTTTGTTCAGACAACTCTGTTTGACTAGTTGGGACAACATTTGGGGTCTGACAAAGGTTTTTATGTAGTTTCAAGAAACCTGCATTTTTTTTAGTATTTGAGACTCAAAAGGTTTCATAAGCTGGAAAATATGCGGTTGCATTTTTTCCACAAAGTGGAACGCACTTCAAAATAGATTCCCCTATGGGAAGTGCTCAGATAAGTTTGTGAGTGCATGTCTAAAAAATGGAGTGGAACGCAGCCTCAGTTTTGTCTCTGCAGGAACGTAATGGGAATTTCCAGATCGGTGGGCGACGCCAAAACAGAGGGGGGTCTTCAACCATGTTACCTGATTGGCTCACGTCACAGTGACAAGTACAGTTTAGGGGTAGGGTCAGGTAAGGGGCATCACTTTCATTGCATGATAGAAACACCCACGAGTTTAAAAACACCCACAAAGTTAGAAACGCAATCTTTTGATCTATAGCCTGTTCTAGCCTATTCAATGAACCTTAGACATAACAGTTCACCTCAAAAATGAAAATTGTCATCATTTACTCACCCTCATGACGTTCCAAACCCATATACGTTTTTTCCTCTATTGAACACAAAAGAAGATAATTTGAGAAGTCAAGGGGGACCATCAACTGTTTGATTACCAGCATTCTTCAAAATATCATCTTTTATGTTCAAAATAAGAAAGAAACTCATACAGGTTTGGGATGACATGAAGGTGAGTAAATGATGACAGAATTTTCATTTTTGAGGTCAACTATTAAGTCTAAGATTCATTGAACAGGACTTGGCAAACAAGTGTCTCAAAGCTGGCAAAAGCTATGAGCTGAGTGACTGATTCAAGATTTTATAAGTCACATACAAGTTATATGACATACAACAAGCAGTGAAATGTAGGTCTGTCATACTCTTTATAGACTGTGCAAAAAAAATAAGAAAATTAAATACAAACAATTAAATATACACAATATATTAAACTACTACACAGATGACGTGCAGAGATGTAAACAATGTGCAGTAAGGATGAGTTGCATAGCCAGCTCATCTAAAAAAAAAAAAGGTGCACTGTGCAGAGAGTTATTGAGTAACCCTACACTACCAGAGTCTCTAAATTGCAGTGTGTTTAATGTCCATGTTTAATCTTTTGATAGCGTGAGGGAAGAAGCTCCTACTGAGCCTCTATCTGTTTTTGCCATCAGACTGCAGAAGCGTCTTCCTGATTGTAGCAGATTCAGATTCATCACCTAACAGTCAAACCCAGCAGTGAAAGGTTTTTTACTTTATTTTATTTTTGAATGCACACAGGAAGTACCAGTTCAGAAAGTGTGGGGGAGTTGTGCTTTCCCAATGGTTAATGGATTCACAGATGTAATACACAATTTTAAAACAGAAGAGGCTCCCTCATCTCATTTTCTGCATTGTTTAAAGCTATAAATGTTTACATTAGTAAATGCATAATAAATGATAAAAAATGTAAAAAATATGAATTGCTCATTGCAAGTTAATGTTAGATAATGCATTAAGTTAACAAATGAGACCTTACTGTACAGTGTTACCAAATAACCATTTAAAAACTAGGTCCAAAAAGAAACTAGGACAGTTAGTTATACTGTAAAACTAGAATGTTATTGTTCCATGGAAGATACCCCACTGCCTCATGTTTTTAGCAAGATAGCAAGAAGACAAAATGTCATTTTTTTATTACTTTTATTACAGTAAGGTTAAAAACAAAACAAGAAATACAAAAGTGCTTAAAGATTCAAGGCCTCTCTGCAGACTATTTTACAAACAGGCATATCTTTCATATTTTATTCCAAATCAGGAGAGAAAACACACACATCCTTAATCCTGACCCCTCCTACTTCAAAACCACAGCATTCCTTGTATTAACAGAAACTACTCCTCTTATTGGTACACAGTTTCATTCATAGTTGCTGTACTTGCTGAAAAATCTCCACATTACAAATCATGCATCATTCACTTCACTTTTAAATGAATACATCAATCTGAAAATGAAAGTTGAATTATCATTGAGGTGAAGCGTTAGTGACCAGTGATACAATGGCAGCAGTACAGACACAATTACATACAATTTTATGTGAATTATATATATTTTTTGCAGTAACATTATGTATGTTTAATGTATAAAGCTGAGAAACTAAATTTAATTCAAATATATTTGTATAAGGCTTACTGAATAAGCATTAATATTGTTACTAAGATGCTTTACTGAAAAATATTACCAAAAAACCCTGTGAGTAAAGCCAAAAGTGACTGTGGTGAGGAGACATAGATGGATACAAAACAGTTTTTACAAAACTAGATTTAGATTTGTATATTATTCCTAGAATAATGATTTGATTTCTGACCAGGTTTAAGAAAGCAGAACAAAAAGGAAACCGTAATAACATTGCTTTTTATTGTTTGTATAAGCTGGTTACTGTTATAAAGTCATTGACATATTTAACCAATTTTACATTAACCTTGACAGCCATAAAAAAAATTACAAAAAATCTTTCCTATAATTTTCAGCAAACCTCCAAGAACCTCTTTAATAAAACTCTGTGTTTACATTAATGTAGTAATAAATTTGACAGTTATTGGTGTACATTATCTCTAAACCCACATTTGATTGTAAATATAAGGAGAACTGATTGTTTAGTCTGTCATTATTGCAACAGCTGCCATTTTCCTTATGGCTTCACTTTTGTTTCAGTCAAATGGCTGCTGACTTCAGTATGAAAATCAGGGCTTATAGTTTCAATTTCATCTACTGATGCTTCTCAGGGACTAAAAAAAAAGACAAACAGAAAGTGAAAATTTCAGTTATATAACTGAACTTATAGGCCATAAAAAATGCTAATTGTTAACTATTAAGTAATTGTAATTGTAAAAGTAATTGTTTTGATCTAACCCTAAACACCAATGTGAACTGTGTGCCTACCTGCTGTCACCGTTTTCCACATCATCTTCATCACCCCTTCCTGTTTCATAGCCTATTTAAAAACAACATTTCATATATTACTCATTGATAAGAACTTTTAAAAGTATTAGCTTAGTCTATACAGCTGTATTTGTTCCCAGTCACAGGGGTTGCACAAGCTACAGCACTTTTAAGTGCCAGGTCCAAGCCCAGAAAAAGAGAGTTGTGTCAGAAAAGAACAATTAGCGTAAAACCTGTAGCAGATAACCTATGCAGATAATCCACTCCAGCATTCCCTCATAGGAGCAGCCGAAAGAGAGTAAGAGCGAGAGAGAGATAGAGACAGCTGTATCTGTTTCCCATGTGTTTCAGAATGAGCCAGAGTTTCTGTACTTTCCCACAAAATATGCTTTCAGATAAATCAACATGGATTGTAACTCAGATTAAACATCTGGCTGGAAAAGGGAAACAAATGATCCCCATGGAGAAACGATTTCAATGTGCAACTAATAGGCCTAGTTGAAACAGAAACAAAAAAGTCTTACAGAATAAATGTTTAACCAAACACCACTTTTAAGAATTAAAAAAAATCACACAAATTTAACATACTTAGAATAGGATGGGCAGAAGTTCGTCTACCATCTGTGAATAAATTCAGTGCAAAGTTATATGATATCACTACTGTCAAATCTATATTTTTAAATAGCCTTAAAGGGGATGTCTAATTCTATTTCAAGTATGGCCCTGCATGACATCATGAAGGGCAGAATTCCTTGTATGGGCATTTCTCCCAGAAGAGCGCGTACACTCATCAGCCAGAGTGAGAGCAAGAGCACGCTCATCAACATGCTTCATTCGTTAATTTGATAGCCATAGTTCAACTTTATGGACTTAAATTTTGTCCCTGTTTTATTTATGTCGATGTCACAGCTTGCAGACAAATTTGGTCAAACTAAAGACTCTTGGGAGATATGAAGGATTCAACTTTACTTTATACGTACTCAAGATTAACATGAGATTAAAAGTAAAGCTGTAAAGAAATTTAGAGAAGTGAAAACACCATCTCACAAAACCTAACTCAAGAATTATAGCGAAGTGAAAACACCACTTCACAAAACGCAGTTGACTGCAGTTTAACAAACTCATGACATTCATGTTATGTTCAAATACATTTAGCAAATCATGATAAGGAAGTAAATCTCTGCTATTTGAAGTCTTTCAGTAACAAGAATTCCCTGATACAAGCTCTGCTGAGGCTTGTTCTTTCTAAATTTAAGCATGGCCACACGTCCCCTTTGGCAACCAAATAAGTAAGCAAATTAAAAGCATGTGTTTCACAGAAATCCCTCATGCAGACAATCACTGAATGTGTATATAATATAAATTAAGAGTAAATATAAGTAGTTCCTTTGTTACCCTTAGAATGATTGTTAAAGGTATCCTTATGATGAGCATTTCTTTTTCTGAAACACAACAGAGAAAACAGCAGGCCGACAATAAGCGATCCAATGACCATCACACCAGCGACAATGTTTGTTGCATTAGATCTGGAAGAATCCTTGTTAACATCACCTGGAAAAACAAAATACATACAATTTACACCAGCACAGATTCTCCCTGAGTGTTGTAAAAAATATATAACGTACTACAAGTAAAGATTATCTTCAGTACATTTGGCAGTTTTAGAATTTAGTAATCTGAGATATCACTAGTAGATTATTGTGTTACAGTGTCAGTCCTTTATTGCACTACAGTAAATTGCATTGCTAAGAAAAATATAGACTCCAATGATACTGTAGCGTTTGAATGCAATCAAGATGTTCTATCAGGTTTTAGGTGTCAAAACTTTCCCTCCTCCCTTGTTATAACTAAATTACACTTAATTAACTTAATTTAAAGTAACTTAATTACTTCTAGCAGATATGATCTCCAGTGTGTTTTCTCCATCTTGTACATATTTGCTATTAAAGACGATGCATCTAAATGGTGCCAGGCCCAAGTTGATAGACTTGAAAGTCAGTTTGCTAGACAAAGCCACAGATTTTACACCCGCTGGGATTTTTGTCAGCTCTGAATTTATGGTCCAGTTGGTTCCAGAACGGTCAAACCAATGGATGAAGCCTTCTGGGTATCCATCAGTAGCATTGCAATAAAGGCTGGCAGGTCCTCCATCGGTTACATTTTTAGGCCATGTGCTTGTGACAGGATCCTTGTACTTTGCTTTATTGAGAAAGAACAAAACAATGATGAGAACCAAGACTCTTGCAAGGCAGTGTGCTTATGTGTTTAGTCATATATATATATATAGTTTTATATGTTAGTTTTATGTTAATTATATGTTAGTTTTATATGACTAAAGAAATTGAATCTCACCTCTGACACTGATGCTAAGTTGTATTTCTTCAACACCACTGTCCGTTACAACACGGTACTGATATTTGCCCTCATCAGAAAACATTGTGTCAGAGATTTGCAGAGATGGACCCACTGCTAAGTTTTCAAGACTGAAGCGTGGATCTCCTGAACTTTTTGAACCGTCTTGACTAAAAATTGGCTTGTTCTGTCCAGTTTTTGTTAAATAAACTCCAAGTAAGTCAATATCTTTGACGTTTTTGAAAACGCATCTGATAACTGTGGTCTGAGCAAGAATTCCAACTGCAGGTAGGCATTCCACTTTAAGCAAACCTGTTGAAAACAAACATAAACTTATTTAAGTACTAATGGTACTTAAGAGGAAGCAGGACCAATTTCATGTAGTTTACATGCAATGGTCATGGTTTTATACAAGTAAAGTTCTGCTGACATTATCTGTGGCATGCTGTTGATTAACCACAGAAAATAATTAACAGTATAATGCACTTAAATTGTATTGAGCCTGGAACATAAACTGCTGTAAGCACAAGAGTCATAATCTCTAGTAATATGGGTACAAACATTATTGTGAAAATTACATTGTGTTCCTATTTCTTAAACCCAACACTCAACAACAGCAAATGCAATTAATCTGTGTATTAAAGCATGTACCTGAATTGGGCCTCACAGCAGGGATGAAGAGATAAACTACAAGCATAACCTTCACTGAAGACATGTTTACTCTGAAATGAAAAGTAAAAAATAGACTTGACTTAATAACGATGTGTGTGTGTGTGTGTGTGTGTACTTGTTGAGATTGAACCCTATCTCTGTAAATTCCTATTGCAAAAGTTTGGACTGGCTTTCAGGAAGCATATGAACACTGATATTTCATTGCAAAAATAAAATAAAATAACTCACAGATGGTAGACAACCTTCCATAACATTACAAATGGTAGATGACCTTCCATATTCTAAATCCAGAATATGGTTCTTAATCAGAAAATGATGTGCACATAACCATGGTCACTGATAAGTGCATAAGTAATTAATTAAAGTTGAAAGATATAGAAAGATATTCTTACTGCTGATAGTGATTTCAAAATAAAGTATGTACAAATGTTTCTTTGTGAATTTACATCCATATCCACATTAAATTAAACATTGCATTAACAGAATTGGTCATTCTCCATAAACTAGTTTGTTCTGCAGCTTCATTCTATACGTTTTGGCCATATTCAACATATTGTATGTTGTAACATATATAACATCCCAAAACCAAAAGCTGTGTATGAAGCTGTCTTGATAATCTTATTGTTTCTTAGCTGAAGACTTTTTGTTTCCTTGTATAAAATTTTAAATTCTACTGTTTAACAAAGTATTATACCACTGCATTAAAAAATGTATTGATTTATGTATTAAAGAATAAACAATAGTTCACCTCCAGAGCCAGAGGTAAGCCAACTTGATGTATTTTAGTGTTAAAGTTGAATTTGAATAGTTATTTTAACGCATGCGCACAAACAGGTTCCGTGTATGAACGCATTAATATAAACTATACCAAATATGTTAAGAGCCATCGCTCACGACAAATAAGCATAAGAGAGATACACTTTCTATTATTGTGCCCAAATCTGCCGCTGTGTTTTCGTTGTTTATAAACCTCGTTGTTTATATCAGGTTTTAGGCTACTTAAGGTAAACCATTGCTTACAAAGAGATCATGCCAACGAATATTCAAATATAACACACTCGGATTTAGAACAAAACAGAAGAGAAAACTTACTGTGTAAATGCTCTTCAAATGGACAAGGAGAGGGAAATACAACCGAACGAAGCATGAACGACAGGCTTTGTGTAAAGCTGAGCTGCATGCTTTCACTTTCAATATGACTGTTTTAGCCACGCCTATACATAAATTATGGTTTTACATAAAATCTTTATTTGCCTTCTCCTTTTCAATTCGTTTTTAATAAAACACTGGCGCCATTTACCCAAAAAACACAAAATATATGTATAAAGTAGCTATATATACAATAAAACCGAATAACAAGTATAATGTTGATGGCTAGTTACATGCGGCTGTCAATGTGTAAAATAAGGAGACTTGCGTTAGTATTTTTATTATTATTTGTTTTAATGAACTCTAATAACTTGGCAATATCGCATAGGCTACTGTTTTCCCCCTTTACTGTCTTCTAGAGGTCGCTTTTTGGTGCGTCTTTTTTTTTTCTTTTAAACTTTGTATCCTTTTAGATGTAAAGCGCTTTGAGAATGAACTTTTAAAGGCGTTATATAAAAATACATTTATTATTATTATTATTATTAAAATATGAGCTGTAATAATAATAATATTAATAATAATCAACGGAAACAAAAGTAACTGTTAACTGCTTGTTCATATTTGTTTTATTTTCTCATCTGTGTCTCTATGTAGGCGTAGGATGACTGTGACAGAGCTGTACTTTTCCACTAAATATGTTTTGAGTTCAAATTAGAATGTTTGTAACAATCAAAAAGATTGCAACTCTTAGAAAACATCTGGCCGGAAAAGTGAGAAACTAGATAGAAAAAAAGCACATACAAGTCCTTTCAAACTGGCTGTTAAGCTGGGTGTAAAAAGTAATATTATGTTATATTATATTATATTATTATATATATTTTTGCACATAAGTTAATACTGTACATTCGCATATGTAGATACCATATACATAGTCTATATTTCTATTTTCACATTCTATATTTCTACTCTATATTCGCGTATATAGATACACATAGTCTATATTTCTATTTTTTTTCATAGTCTTTATTCCTACTACTGCAGCATAGTTTTTATTATTATGTTTCTTACATTGTATGTACAGTATATGTGTATAGTTTGTGTATGTGTGTGTATAGCATTCCATTGTCTTGGCATTCATTGTGGACAGCAAAGTAAGAATTTCATTGCTCAGGGAAACTTGTTTTCCTCACTGGGCATATGACAATAAACACTTTGAATCCTTGAATATTATATTATAGAATATATAAATATTGTTATATTGCCCTTTTCTCCTTACTTCCCCAATTGAGGTAAACTACAAAACTCTATCATATCTCAGAAAGCCTAACTTATTTTAGTAGATATAATTTGATTGATTTCTTCAAAACATTGTGTACTAAAAGTGCATTGTGCCCAAAATATCCTTAGCACAGATCAAGATTTTCCAGTTTTAAAGATGACTGATGATTGTATCCTGTGACACATAGTAAGTGTATTGCACCTTATTTAATAACCTTGTTGCCTCTTTTGACAGCCTGTAATAAAGCCTTAACTTTTTTTTTTTTTTTTAACTAACCTTAATTACATTTGATTGTGAACTATAACACCATTTCTCATTTCTGGACATATTAGGACAATGCTTATACTGGAATCAATAGAATTAAACATCAGTTTGACAAACAAAGCCATAGATTTTCTTAGATTATCTTATAGCCATAAGATCTTTAGCTTTTTTCATGACTGAATTAACTTCTCCTATGCCCTATAAAGGTCAACTTTCAGACTGGATGTTTGTAATAGGATCTTTGTACTAGGTTTTAATTGAACGATTTTCAGCCAGACTCATTCTGAAAGCAAAACTAAATCTTAAACAACTGACATTTGTGAATATGAATGTTGTATAAAAATGAAACATAAAGAGATTATAAAATTGTGAATTGTTTTACTGTTAAGAGAAACAAAAGTGAAAATTCATTAAGAATGAATCGTGCCCACTGATACCACAGTTTACCAGCAGTGTGAATGTTTGCTTTTGTAAATAAAGCCCATCTAAAGGTTATCTGTTTGGGCTGAAAATAATACAATACCGCATACAAATGCATAAATCTGTATCAAATCAGATTAGACTGTTGCTGCACCAACTCCAGTTTTGTTCATAGCAAAAGTGAAACATGTAGACATGGGTGGTTTTGGCTTTTTAATAACTCCCATAAAATAAAAATGCCAGATATAAAATCTTTGGTGGAAGTACTTCTATATGTGCTCTGTTTCCCTGCAAAAAGACAATCCATATGATATATTTTACAGGGTTTTAGGGCACCACCAACAACGAGCAAGCTATGAAATAATTTGACACAGAATAAACAATTGAGAGTGTTTGTAGTGGAGGATTCATTGCCATGTGTTCAAGACTTAAACATGAATATCATTATGGTGTGCAATACATTAAATGTTTAAAATCTTTTTTTTTTCATTATCTTTCGCTTTTGTTAAAGATACTTTTAATCTTGATCTCTTTATCTGGATATATACAAATATAAAGGCATGCTTATAATGTTCTGCAATTAAAATTAAAAAGTGGTCCTCAGGGATGCACAGGGAATCTACTGAAAGGAACACAGCCATAACTACATTGAAAGAAAATGACTTGTAGGATTTACTTGATAAAATCGTCATAACAGTTTGCACATTCTAAGTAAGTTTCACTGCTACTGCTCTGTGCAATTTACCTGTTATTGTGAAGTAAAATATACTTACTATGAACTTAAGTTAAAGGGGTCATATGATGCGATTTCAAGCTTTCATTTCATTTAATTTCTTTCATATGTTTTTATATTTAAACATATTCTGTTACACCAAATACACAAAATAATGATCTTTAAAATAGCATCATATGACCTCTTTAAGTAAATTTAACAAAGAAAATAAGTAACTTTAGCTTGGCCAGTAAGAGTTCGAGTATTTTTTACTTACTTGGCAATCCCTTGATTTTACTCAATAGCACTGAATTAAACCATGGTTTTAAAGCGTAGGTGTTCTAAGCAAACATCTAAGCAAATAATACAATAGATATCATGTAGACACCATATCTGCATAATTACTGTAGCAATGCGGCACTGACCCGAACACAGAGACTTCAATATTTGGTACACAATACACAATGACGATCTACTTTAGCACATAATCTTTTTTAGTGACATGCTGAATTTTATAAAATAAAATAAGCTTATTTTTCTTGCTAAATATCCTTGTAATTAATGTTCAGTAAATTAAAGGTGTCATATGATAAGATTTCAATTTTTCCTTTCTCTTTGGAGTGTTACGTGCATAAAGAAGATCTGTAAAGTTGCAAAGACTAAAGTCTCAAATCCAAAGAGATATTCTTTATAAAAGTGAAGAGTCAACCACGCCGATCTAAAACGGCTCGTTCTAACACGCCCCCACATGTCTACGTCACGATGTGGGAAGATTTGCATAACGCCGCCCACATGTTCACACAAAGAAAGAACGCGTAACTTTTATTCTCGCTGTAGTATTGTTGTTGCAGCCGCCATGTCGTGAAGACGCTGTGTGTTTCGTTGTGAAAGCGAAACTACTTTGTTTGGCCTTCCAAAAGAGGATGATATCCGCATCGTCATGGCTAGAGCTGATCCTTGCTGGTCGCTGAGAAAATACATCAACTTCGCGCTGTCGATCGCCGGATCGGCTTTCACTGTGGACGAAACGGAGTCCAGCCCGGTGTCATCACATGTGGGTGCCGGATGCTTCTTCTTTGAATCCACCGGCCGCGCTGTTCTCAAGCCTGCCCGACTCTGCTCACTCAAGCCAGCCTCCGCTGACTCTAGGCCGCGGCTCACTCTAGGCCTCCGGCCTCCTCTCACTCAAGGTCGTGGTGTGTGACGCTGTTTCATTGTGAAAGCGAAACTACTTTGTTTGGCCTTCCAAAAGAGGACACGACTAGAAATCAGTGGTTAAGTTGTATTTACAACACTATTCCAGAACAGTTTAACCCAAATATTCAGATGTGTGCAGCGCATTTTATGGAAGACTGTTTCCTGATCCTGGGAGAGTGGACTACAATGCCGGCTGTTCTGACTCACAGACTGTAAGTACGTTTTTTATATTTAAAGAATTGCCACTGACGATTCAAACGCGAGTTTTTTGGACAGTGTACAGTAGCCCTTGTTGTTTGTCGTTTCTCCGATCACAAATGCAGACATGGTTATATGTTTACGCGGCGATATGCAATGCAACGCATAAAAAGACAGTATAAGTCATTATAATCCGTAATTATGTCCCCACTGGATGCAACAAATGCCTCTTTTATAATGGTTTTTAATGTTTTTGTCTTGTCGCTCCGGCCGGGACAAGGCATCACAGTATGGTAAGGGGCGTAACATTTCCATCACACGCTTGAGGTATTCGGCCAATCACAATGCACTGGATAGCTGGCCAATCAGAGCACACCTTGCTTTTCAGACCGATGAGTTTTATAAAAATCGACACATTTCAGAAAGGCTGGGCATAGAGGAGGAACAATAATGTACAGTATGTGGAAAATAATGTGTTTTTTTAACCTTAAACCACATTAACACATTTCATTACACCAAATTCACAAAATAATGTTCTTTTTAGCAGCATCATATGACCCCTTTAAGCTTTTATTTCGCAGGGCACTTCCATAGCAGAAGAGTCTAAAAAGTTGTTTATAGCCTCTGTCACCATCCCACCTGTGGGACGTTTGGCGCTCTTTTTTTGTGTGTCTTTTTTCTCTATCAAATCTTTTCGTAATCATCATATATCATATATCATTTGAAAGCTTAGAAGCCCAAGATTCATCCTGTGAAAACCATTTTGAACTCAGACATTGCGTTTCCATGGAAATGGTACTTTAAGATATTTTGGCGGTCTCCTCCCCCTTAGTGGGCAGTGTCAAGTGTCATATTACAAAATGAATTACGGTCTTTTAGAATCAAAACTTTTTATAATCTTGACAAAAAACATATCATTGGAAAGGTCTGAGTCTCAGGATTCCATATGTGGTGGTTATTTTGAGATATAATATTGACATAGAAATCTAGACATTTGTGACAGAAAAATGCATTTAAAAAAATTAAATG